TTACGAGCTAGAATTCTATGTGTTACTTGTTTCGTAACTCTTCGTTGCATTTTTTATCTTTTATAATTTATGTACAATGACTTCTTTGCTCCGTATATACAAGTGTAAATGGCGCAAAAAATTTTATTAAGTTTCTGTAAGAATCTTTAATCTAAAGTATACACTATACATTCATAATAATTACAGAAGCTGTGCTGGTTTTTGTATAAGTATGTAGTATGTTGCCAGAATAATAACCACAAGGTATAAATTAGCAATATAAAAGCAAGCCAAAAGTATTTTATATTTATGTGAGTGTGCGTTGAAAAATGGCATGAGTGAAAATAGAAAATATACTTAGCTATTTCGTGCTGTATAAAATAGACAATTAGGAAATGATTTTATTCATTTAAAAAAAAAATTCGTAAGCTTTAAAGACATCAATCGAAAGTAAAAGCAACCAAAAACTGAAAACCTTGCATAGTTGAATATATCAACTAATTATTAAGATATGACTAATTTTTACCCAAAACAAAAATTGTTTCATTGTTAAAAATGAAACTAAATAGATCAACAGACATTTCTAGAACTCAAAAGTATTTTAATATATTGCGCTAATGATATTAATGGATAAACCTTATCAATTATCGATTCTTATATTCTTACTTTCAACCTTTTTTCAATTTCAGGGGTGGATTTAACAATTCTATCACCTTAGGCTACTGTTGGTAAGCGCCCTCCTCCTCTCCTCCCACAAACAATTATGTGTTTTAAAAATGGTATAAAATCTGCAACTAAAAAAACTACGCCTATCGTTTAAAAAACGTATAAAGCCTACGTTTTTGGATATGACGACTCTGTAAGCTTTTTGAAGTCTGCAACCAATTGGGACAGCTAGCAAACAAGCTTGAATATTAAATGATATACACAAAATTAACTAACCAAAATATTTGAATAGGACAATTACTTTCAAAAACACCTAATTTAGATTTTCTTACGTCTTCATTATTGTTATCCCAATATTTTATGATTTCATTGGGATCAATCCATTTCCTAAATTTGTAATCAATATGACATACTTCTCAAGTATGTAATCATACATGATAAGGAGTCGTGCATACATAATCAATAAACTATTTTGAACCAGAAAATGAACATTCTCCTTTAAAATACAGAGAGCTATCTCAATATTTTGACAGATACTCTGAAAATCATTCTTTTTAATCCAATGTAACAACGTAATTGTTGTCATTTTGTAACTATTGTCAGTTCGAGCCTTGCACTTTTTTCTACGGAAATTCCGGAAAATCGAGTAGAATATTACTTGATTTTGCAATTAATCGCGGGTATCTGTAATAGATGGCACGGGACGGCTAGTGGCCGTTGATGAAAAAATAAATGTATGTTTATGTTATACGATATTTATACATACATTTTTCACTTTCAATTCAATTTTTGTCTAAATACTCTCCATTACAGCTCTGGTTTCTTTTTTCGCATGTATTCAACAAAAAAGAGTTGTGGAAGGTGTAATGATAAGATTACCTTAAGCCAACATTCATAAAAAATTTCCTATGAATAATACAAGATATTATAAACAGTAAAACAACATAAAACAACAAGTTATTACGTCAGTGTTAGTAACATTTCACTTAAACGGGTCAAAGTGAAAAATTGTATTAACCTAGTCTATTCTATAATTTTTTTAATTAACGAATGATGTGATTGACCCATATAATGTTAACAGGAAACTGTGGGGACGTGAATTACCTAAGACCTAAGACACATTTTCAAAATGAATTATAATTTAGGGATTATTGAGTCGTAATAAAATGTCACTAAAAAATTTAAGGAATTGTGGACGAGATTCATTCCAAAAAAAAAGTATTCCTGAAGAGTGTGGAGAGTTGTGAGAGATGTTGACGACCTAATTTTACTTGGTTGAGGGAGAATATGATGATAATTATGTAAACCAAACAGGCGATCGGAGAAGGGGGCAGAGATGGGCCTCTCAAACTCCTTAGGATGAAGTAGGGGGCTAGTTAAAAGTAGGATAATTTTTATCGGATTAATATAACAGAGAAATAAGGAGAAATTTACATTATTTTGAGAGGGGGCTCAAAGGTGTGTTCAAAATGTTGCCTGAGTGACCGGCGGGAGGGGAAAGGAATTACTAAATTTAACTCTTTCAACTTTATAATATGAAAATATATGAATAAATATATTATGCATTTAATTTTGACTAATACGCTTTTCAAATATGTAGTAATCGTTTCATTTCCGGATCAACAAAAAAAAAATATATATATATATATACATC